GACATACACAGAGAAAAATATATTTGTTGAATTTTTGAAGACATCAAAGTATGAATTTTTAAATTGAGGCTAATCGACAATTTAAATACATTCAGATATCTAAAGATAATTTACGTAGAGTGTAGAAATTCTTCTTAAGAATACCACTGTTCCTAGCGAAGGCTGTGAATGAGAAAATGTCGAGATTTTTCCATTTCATCTTCCTCATTGCTACTTTGACTATTTTCGTTCTTCAACAGATGAGTACTCATCATACTAATGAACCTTGCTAAGAGCATATAATTCAGAGTATATTTTCCGTTTGTGTCAGAAGAATATCGCTGCTGCATAGATGCTGGTAGCAAAAAAAGGGGAGTGGTAGAATCATTAAAATTGTTCGGGAACACAATCGCAAAAATCTCCTTGGTAAATAAACATTTATATTGAAGGTAATGGATACATCAACCAAATCAATGTCGAGACTTACTCGAGATGGTCTGCATATGAAATTAACTTTATTATAAAATGTATTATAGTATTATTTGTATAATAAGCTGAAGTTGTAACAGAACTTATGGCAGAACAAGGGCACTCAAAGCGGTCCAGAGATTTGGAATTCTAAACGAGTTTGGGTTTGAGCCCGTAGAAAACGAATCTGCTTGTGTTTACAAGAAAGCACAAAATTCCTTTATGGAGGTTCTCTTCTAAAAATGGGACACAATTCTCTCTCAAATACCGCACCAAGTACCCTGGGGTAGACTTGGATAGCAAACTATTGTGGAAGAAAGAGTGAGAAAAGCTGGGAATGACTTATATGCATATAAGGAGATACTTGGCACAACGTAGGGGCTCTCTGCCTCTCTTATGCACTGGCGCTGCTCAATGGTGGACAGGCGTATGGAAATCCACCTACCGGAAGCCAAAGGAAAGGGTTCCATGCTGTGCATAACGGGAGCTTAAGAACCACTCCAACGGCGGCTTTTGAACTGTGACTAAACCTGCCACCCATTTAACTCCTCGCTGAAAACTACACAACAATATCGGCGAACGACAATTGGCTGCAGGAGAGTTTACATATAAAATATTATGGACATTACTCAGTGGGTAATGGCGGTTTGACAAAAACCGACTACATGGTCCCACTTTTCAATTGGGAAAGAAGGTTTAAAATAAACATAGAAAAAGAAGAAAACATTTTTAGAGATGGCACGAAAATGGCTGGAGCCACAGAGCCTGTTGAAATTCGCGTGAAGCGTAGGTATCTTTAAATATACCTACTCTTAAAGAATTTAGTAACTGAACTCCAACTGGTAGCGCAAAAGACCAAAACTGGTCTATGCGTGGAGGATTAAGTGGACAATATCAAAAACAAAGTAAAAATAATAATAAAGACAAGCGCTGATAACAATGCCATTTTGAAAGTATCTCAAATTTATCATATTTAAACAGCGTTAAAAAGCCTGCTTTTATTTAGCGTCACTGCCAACATTTTCTCAGCCTAATACAACTACTTATGTATATCTTAGCAAGGCACCGATTGCTTCGTGCATATCAGATTGTGTTACAACTTGTCAGTAAAATTAATTTAAAGAATTTTCCTGAATCCTACTTATTTTTCCCAAACATTATGAGAGTAATGAGATGCAGGAAGAAATGAAACTCTACCTGTACGTATGCAAAGATTGCTTAGAATTTTTCCTAAGGCTTCTAAAGAAAATATCATATATCTAAAAACTTTGTTATAAAAATTTTGTAATAAAAAAATAAAATAAAAATATATATACATATATAACTCAAATTTTTGTATTACTAAGGAAATAAACTTTCTGTAGTTTAGTCTAGTCGATTCTAATTTTTAATTGCGAAAAGGTTTAGAGACAGTGCTTTCAATTTGTTAAGTGATTTTTAGATTTTGAACTTATACTTTAAACTGTTACCATAATTAAGAAACACTTTTTGTTAGCTTACGAGATTAAATGTGAAACGTTCAAATTATAAACAAGTGCGTTCAAAATAATGCAAACATTTCTTTGGAAGAAATGTGAGTGGAAATGAATTGAATTGAAGAAATTCCACTTCGTGAGAAAACTATCGAGATCGGAGAAAATTATCCATTTCCAACATCCATATTCCAATATCCATATTCCAATTTCCATATTCCAATTTTTCGCTTATAGATATATGAAGGAATTAAAGTTTATGATATTACCACTAAAATTTGTCAATATTTTCACTAAAAGCTTTTTCCTCAGAAAAAAAAAATTGACAAATTCTCCTTTTTATAATTTTGTTAAATCCTGAATTTATTAAATTTTGTTTTCTCGAGCTAAACTCAGAAAAGATGGAGTTTTAAATAGTCACGTAAAATTCTAACAATTTCGTTTATTTTTTTCCAAGCAGAAAAATATAAAGTTCCATCCTTGCAGCAACCACTTGCTCGATGAACTGCGCAACGGCGACTGCCAGCGGACACAGGATCCGCACTTGCGCATACAAACAGCAAGAAAAATAATTATTTTTCAACGACATATGTTAATATAGACTTATGTACATATTCTTACATAGTATACAAACAAATATGTATGCAGCACACAATGATTCCCAAGCAGTTGCCCAAAGACACTTTCAATTTTCGCTGCTTTGCGACACAAAACGCAGAGCAACTCCCCACACAAATGTTTGCTAGCAATGAAAAGAAAATCTTTAAGAAAAGGAATTTTGTCAGCAAAGGCAACTAAAAATAAAACTGACAGGCGTACAACGCACATCCTTGCTGACGTATATCCTTGCTAGATATGTGTGTGTGTGTTTGTGCGCTTTGGCAGCACAAAGATCAGATATCCTTTGTGGCAGTGAAGCGAGTAAATTGAATAGCTACGCTACAAACGTAAGCAATAATCACAGCAACAAAAACAACAATAATTCCCATAGTGCATAGTATATTGTTACGCTGGATATAACGAAAATAAAACGAGACAAAAACCAATGGGGCAAAAACAATGCTTACGCAGTTTTTCCAACAACAATAACAAGAGAGCCAACAGCGCGTAATATAATAGTGGCGAAGCAAAGAAATGAAACACACACACATACTTAAATATATTCCTTTCAAAGTGCCTAAGAATCGAAAGAAAAATGCGCTTGTGTGTAGGTGTAGCCAAAAGATCTGGATAAATTGGTTAGCCAGGTACTTGGACGTCGTCAGGATGCTGTGCGTTTGCACTAGCTGGTGTGCTGGCGTAAGAAGGAGGGGAAATTTTCTGCGCAGGTTTCTGCTACTCAACCAAGTGTGCTAAGGTGAAGGCGAAGGTTATCTGCGAGACAGCAATTTCTCTAACATAAGCATGTAGCTGTAACACTTAACATATGTTAGTATACACTGAGTAACTTAACAGCTGTTTGATTTCGCGGGGGTGTTTCTTATGTTAGTTAACAGTGGATTGCTCTGAAATTTTATGCTGCGCTAACGTAACAGCTACTTTAACAATTATGTACATATTTGCACAGAGAACCGAATAAGCTGAGTTTTTTTAAATGAATATTACTGCTTAGTTAGAAAATTATATGAATGAGAGTACACAAACATAAATATTTAAGATATGTATATACATATGTATGTATGGCTAGTGAACAATGAACATTATTGTTTTTTGATAAATTTAAAGCAACTCAGTCTAGATATGCACTAAATGAGTTAGAATTTTTTAATTATTAAATAAAAAATAAAAAAAATTTAAAAATAAATAATATATAGGAAAAAATTAACAAAACCTTTTAAATAATATATAAAAAATATATATATATTGCACTTTTATATTACAAATTAGTAATAAAATCATATTTATCTTGATTCTGATTGCTCAGTTTGTATGACAGGTATGTGCTAAGTGGATCGATCACAACAATATAATCCGAGATTTTGCGTTGCCTTGGAGAAAACTGAGTACCAGATACGATATCAGGACAAACGCAAAAGTTCTCTATACCAGCGCTTTATTTTTTTCGAAAATTGTCTAACTGCTTTGGCCAATAATTCATATTAAATTTTGGGGAGAGAACTTTTCTAATAAAAATGTTCTCCTTACAAGAACTTAATTTTGGTATGTTTGTTTGTATGGGAACTATATGTTGCAGCAGTTCAATATGGAAAATTACTTAGGATGTTTTGGCTTTATTTTGGCTAATAATCTCCACCAAGTTTTGAGAAGATACCTTGCCAAATGAAAAAGTTTTTCATACAAGGACTTGAGTTGGATCGGACAGTTTGTATCTTAGCTACATGCTACGGTAGACCGATCAGAAAAATTTCTCCACATATTGTAGATTTGAGTTAGTTAATAATCCTCACCAAATTTCGGCAAGATACCTTTTCAAATAAAAATTTGTCATACAATTTTGCACGGCTAAATATGCAAATAAGAAAATTTAATAAAATTAGGTTCACACACACATAGGCATACACAATATTTGAACTGGCACACGCCACATTCTACATACAAACAAACATGCATGTTGCTATACCTACAAACATTTGCTGCTCTCCCTCCGCACTGCTCGGCAGAGCACAGCTTGTGCACATGCCTGTTAAATCTCTGTAACCTGTGCGCTCGAATTCCCTTGCTGCCCTAAGAAAATATGCTATTTGCCTGCTTACAAACGCGCTCTCGCCGCGCTCTCACACTTTGGTGTGCGCCACCCTTTTCCATGCACCGCAAAGTATGCTTGTAACGAAGTTACTCTGCTCCGTTCTCCGAGTTACTCTGCGGAACGCTGCTCTATTCCCACATTCCCGTTGGAGTTCGTGGCACTGATCGCGAGCACGATCACTTGCGCTGCCGTTTAACCCTCGGCCAGCGTACGACGACGAGCAACAGGGGAGGAAGCAGGTATAGCCGCTACTCACGCTATATGGACTAACAGAGCATAGAGCTGCGACGGTAACTGTGAGTGTTGTTCGGCTGTGGAAATTGTACTTAAGGCGCTGCCAGAGGACGAAGGGAATCATTAAGGCATTTGATTTCATAGCATTACAAGCTCGTCTTCAGAAAACGAGTAAAATAGTTGTAGCCAAACAAGCAGTCAACGACGAAGACCAATCAGTGTAAATACAAGAAAACCGTGTTAAAAAAAATATATAAAAAAAACAAGAAGTAATTGTGTCTAGTTTAAATACCGACAAGCTCATTCAATCCTAAAAATCATTCATCATAAAAAATGGCAAGTGTGTGTATGACGCAAACGGGTTACCAGCAACAGCAACATCACTTTCAAATGTTGAACGGCAACATAATGTTGTTGCAGAAAGCGCAACAACAACAGCAGCAACTGCAACAACAAACGCTCCAGCAAACAGCGCTCTACCAAGCGAAGAAGCAGCAAAGCATCGCACCGGCAACCAAAGTGCTAGGCAGCAGCAATCTGCATAACATCCAAATGGGTCCGGGGGCTGGTGATGACCTGCTGCCACGCAAGAAGTACACCTACATGAATATGCCCTATGGCGAGCAGTTGCCGTCGGTGGCGCGTCGCAATGCGCGCGAGCGCAATCGTGTCAAGCAGGTGAACAACGGTTTCGCCAACTTGCGTCAACATCTGCCACAAACGGTCATCAATACGTTGTCGCATGGCGGACGCGGCGCCAGCAAGAAGCTCTCCAAAGTCGATACGCTGCGCATTGCGGTCGAGTACATACGCGGTCTGCAGGACATGCTCGAGGAGTCGCAACCCAGCACGGCTAGTAATATGCATGCCGGCACGGTGGTCTGCGATGAGTCCAGCAATGATGGCAGCAACTACGGCTACTCCTCCATGGGCAGTCCCAGCGAAGTCGCATTCAACCAGCTGCAACGCTCCTATCACTCTGAGGCTTCGGTCTCACCAGCGCCCAGCTACAGCGGTGACTCGGACATTTCTATTGGCGGCGCCAACTATTTGCATCCCGTCAAGTTGGAGGCACAGCAGCAGCAACAGCCACAGACGGCTATGCATGCGTCGCAATTCAAATTCGAGTCGTTCGATGATTTCGCACATTTGTCGCCCGAGGAGGAGCAGCCCGACGATGAGGAGCTCTTGGACTACATCTCTTCGTGGCAAGAGCAATAAGCTGCGCGTTGCAAGCACATATCAGTGACCCAAATAACCTGCGCAAATTATTCTTAAAAATCAATTGAGAGAGACAATACAGACCAGTGGCAACTCAGGACTCCGTATTTTCCACAAATACAATCTATTCTACTTCAATGAGCGTTGTGTATGAAAAAGTTGAATTTTTATTCGACTTTTTGTAAAATTTTGTAAATAGTGCCTTGCCAAAAAACAAACTTTTATTGTGTTAAATTTTAGTTTAAGTAAATATTTTTTTTATTAATTTTAAGTTATGGAAGACAAATGATTTAAAACCCTACTCATAAGTTAAGCGGTAATTTTAAGCAATGGAAGACATTAAACTAAGACTTGTAGACTAATCAAACCACTATAAAAATGCAAACAAAGAAAAACAACAAACCAAATAAAACAAAATACACTGAAAAACATAAACTATTTGCTTTTACTTTTCTGACATTGCCATTTTAAGCTGATTCGAGTTTTCCTCTAATATGGTTTTAGGAGATGAAGGAACAGCTTGGTAAAGCAAACTCACGTTTTTGGTCAATGCAAACCTAACCAACATTTGAAAATTAAAAAAAAACTAAATTTTTGAAATTTCAAAATTGGAAAAAAAAATATTCTTTATGGATCTTGCACTTATTTACTGCATGTTATTAAGCATAAATATCTTTCTGTGAAATTGTTACAGAAGCTTTGAGAAAATATTTCTAAAAGTATGGTGTTGTATTACACTATTCATTTCAAATTAGTTCTTAAATTCGAAAACTAAAATTGGTCGTGTTCCTAAACAAATATTTTAACTCTATATTTTTGGTTTCTGCAAACCAAACAATATTTAAAAATTGAAAATATTTTAAATTTCTCAAAATTTTAATGAAAATATTATTAATGACGAATATTATTAACTTCAAAAGTGCAACTGAACAGCAAACAACTGAGAAATTGTTCCAGAGGCTTTGAGCGAATATTTCAGAAAATATATATTATGGCATACTACCATCTTCAACATTCATTCCAAAATCAGACACAAAAGATGAAATTTCTCAAAGCAGTTCTAAAGATAGGAAAGACAGTTTTTAATGGAGTTTCCAAAGTTAATCCGGACCCATTTCTCATGTTCACTGTTTTCCAAACTATATAAGTTGCTTGTAAAGATTTCGAACGGATGCAAGTCCTTATTTCACTTCTTTCAAGAGCATTGCCTAAAGCAAGGCTACAATCACAAAACATGGTGATCGAATCGGAACGCTATAAAGCTGTCATGGAAACTAACCAAACATAGTTAAGTTCTTGTGTGAAAAACTTTTTTATTTGGCAAGATGAATAGTAATGTTGTAACATCCTAATATATTATTCAGATCACATCTCTATGGCATATAACACCATACAAAGTGACCGGTTATATCCTCAGATTTGGCTTTACATATATTTAGCTGCCATAAGAAAGGCAATTGAGAAGGAAATATAAAAATTAAGCTTTGATGCAGCCAAAGATAATAATGCTGGTATTACAGGCAACCACTTTGCAGCCCTCGCTGCGAAAAATGTAGCCTGGACTCCTGCCTTAACATACTATGTCTCAACCAAGCAAGACATTTCTAACCTTATTAAGCACAAAAGGCATCAAAAAAAACGCAAGCGAATGGAAAACATTTAAACATCACTACGCGGTCATAAACCCAGCCGGAAATCGAATAATCTACTCGTCAACAGTTTCAACCAGCGCAATGAGGACATATACCTGATTAAGGATTGGACACACTATCATAACACACACCCACTTAATATCGGGTAAAAGCCCATCCATTTGCCCCCTTTGCGATGACACCGCTTCTATCAAACACTTACTCACACTCTGTCCGATGCTCCACTCAACAGCCCACAACTCTGGCAACATTGATCTCATAAAACTACTAAGTGAACCTTCAGAAAAAACGTTATGATTGTATATAGATTCTTAAAAACCAACGATTTGTTAAAATATATTTAAGCAACTTACATCTTTACTAACCCTTAGCTAATAGAATTTTTACCTAGTTATAATTACAAGGCGGCTGAAGGCCTCGTAGCCAGTGCTGCGTTTATGTATTTATATAATAAAACTCTTTTTGTTATATGAATTATTATAAATAAATAAATAAATAAAATTTTTGTTGCTTTGTTGTAGCAATGTTTGCGAAATTATCCACTATTTTAACCGTTTTATTCTTAGATTGTTCATTTTGGTTACACTACTTGATTGATTGTTTTATCCGTCAAACCTAATCAAACTTTTCAGTAAACTATGACCTCAGACCACAGAATCTGATTCAGACATTCAGCAAATATTCTGCCTTTATATAATATAATATGAAACCTTTATACACAAATTATTTGTCATATTGTTTTTCCGGTGTAAACTCCTGAACTATCGAACAGATTTTAGTAAAATTTAGCACACTTAGTCCAGCTTGGTCGAACTTAAAATACAGGATACTTTAAATCTGAAATATTTAAAAACAAAATATTCATAAATAAAAAATGTATGTCTTTAAATATGACAATTACTTTAAAATGCCCAATATCAAAAAAGAAAACAAACCTCAACAATCACTCGAAACAAAACAGTCCTAGATTTAAATGAATACGATAGGTTTTTCGATGATTCTGGTGAGAAACCGTTTCAGCTTCAAAAAGATTGGCGGAAATTTTTTGAAACCCGTAAACTCATACACCCACTTAAACCAATCATTATACTTTGTTAATTATGGTAGAGTAAGGCTCAATAAAAAGGAAAAGCAAGTTTCTTACAGCTGATTAAAAAGTATGCGACTTAAGATAGCTTATGACCAAGGTGTTGAAGATAACATAAAATGCTATTTATATACATATACATATATTTTTATGACAATACTACTGTGATCAAGTTGAAAGATAAATTTTTAATTTCATGTCAAAATATCCATTAGTATTTGAGATACGCGTTGTTTTGTTAGGCTCTAAAAGTGAATTCTTCAATCTTTTGCTATGTCTGAATTAATTGTACAAAAAAGTACGATAATGCACCATCTCACACTGTACTGCTTAATTTTCAACTAATATCGTGTCGCAACCACCGCATTCGCCTGATTTACCTTCGTGTAACTTCTGGCTATGCAATAAATTCATATGATTACTCCGAGGACACCGTTTTGACTCAATTAAGGTAATAAAAGTTGAATCGAAGAAGGCTCTGATGGCCATCACGACGGAAAATTTTTGCAAGTGCTATGATGACTGGAAAATTCATTGGCATATGTGTATTGCAGCGGGAGGGTGTTACTTTGAAGGAAAGGAAATGGACAAAGTTCACTATACAATTTGATCATTGTAGTATGTGTTTAAGACAACTTGAATTATTGAAAACAAGTTTGCAAAGCAAAAAAATCGAGTGCTACATTGCCATAGCAACAATAATAAAATTTATTTACCATCTAAAACGCTTAATAACACTCGGCAATAAGCAACAACAAATAAGCGCAACATGCACGCGCACAAAGCGTGTAGACATTCGAACCACTGTGCCATACTGTACGGCTGGGTAACAAAATAAATAAATTAAAATTAAAATATTTTATCATTTCCGCTACGAGCTTAAGGAGCAAAGTAACAAGCAACAACTACAACAAGAACAGCAAACGTATTAATTGTGTTAACGGAAGTAACCGGTCACGCCTCACGGCCTAACTACAAGGACCACGTGGGCAAACCGGCAACAACTGCAACAAAGCTGAGAGCAAATGAGTGAATGACAGGGAGACAGGGAGCCGGCAAACAAGCCCGATTGACCGGCAGGCTTTACGCCTGTTCAAAGGCGTAAAGCATACATAATTTGCCTGCTAATGCACTTCCGGGCCGAAGTGGTACTGCAAGCGGCCACCAAGCAATAACAGCAACCAACAAGCAACCACAACCCCAAAACGAATGCGATTGTGAATGCGAATGTATAACAAAGGTATAAGGACAATTGCACGAAGGACATTACGTATGCGCTTACGTAGGGACCCCTTAATATTTGTATGTAAGTGTGTGTGTGTTCCAGATGTGGCAGCGTGGCAAGGGGTTGTAAGGGGTTATTGGATGACAAACAACATTTAGCAGAGCGAAATTGCTTACGTATGCCGCTTAAAAAGTAACAGCACCATAAACAAAATAATGAGGCAAAATAAGTAAAAACAACAACAATAAAAGCATGATATATATTTACTGCGGTTGAGACGAAGCTGTAATACCCTTCACGAATACAATAAATGCCATATAAAAATGTTTTTTGTTGGGCCGGTTTATATGACAGCTTGAAGATATAGCGATCCGACGTGAATAATTTTTTCGCAGATTGTACTGTTGCTTTTAATAGTAAGCCGTAATAAATTTCTTGAAGAAAGCTCGTTCTATCAAATAGTTTTTCTTGGTAGGACCTAATTTTGATCTATTAGTTTGTATCGCAGCTATTTGCTATCTTGGTCCGACATCGGCGGATCCGACGAATGAGAAGCTTCTTGAGGAAAAAGGAGAGCAAATTTTCAGGTCGGTATCTCAAAAACTGAGGGACTAGTTCACGTATATACAAACAACGTCCGATGTGTTTAACGAGGATAACTGCTGACGACAACCTACCTCACGGGGCTCAAAAGTACAGCACTTGACAGTGTGGAATGGGCAGACTAACCAACTTGTTAGGGTTCGAGACCCATCTAAAACCTCTACTTTACTTTGGGTCCGGCACCCGGTTGCAATGCAACTCCACATTCAACTGTTAAGTATCAGTTCTTCCCAATTTCGGGTTTTAACCACAACCATCACAATACTCCCCGGGAAGCTAGTCGGCATGAGCAGTTTTGATCGAAGTACAAGCGCTTCTATTGGCCGTAGTACCAGACTTACGTCTCCGATCGGACCTCGTAGTCGAAACTATTACCAGTTGAGCTTCCATTCTGCTCTGGATTAGTGGCTAGACGTTAAACCCTATACACACAACACTCATACAAAACTAACCCTACTTCCCAGTTACACACCTTCGCCACTTAAATAACTCTCGCGCAAACGACCCTAACTGTTCGGAACTCCGACTAGTGGAGATCGCCCCGCTAACATCTAAACGTCCATCTGTCCCGCTAATCCCCATTCCACACATATCCGTAATAACAGACTACATCGGGAATTCTGCAATTATATGCACCCAGTCTTCCAACCCGACCTATCAGATAGGTGGCTCTGATTCAAGAATGCATTCAGAGGACCATACCCCGTGAGTAGTAAAGCCAGACTCAGACAAAAACTGAAGTCTTGGTTATCCTCAACGAACCCAATGTTTCGAGTTTACTCATAAGTCACTCAGCCGTTAGGAATATTGTCCCAATGGTCTTCCCGCTAACTCCTGACCTTATCATCTAGTAGCTTCCTGCCTAGAT